CCTTACATTTTGCTTGCTTGGCTTTTCATTTTTTTCCCCTCAAATTGTTTTGTTACCGGTTTTAGAATGCGCCAGACCAACGGTAAGAAGTCTTTAAGCAAAGAAAGAACAAAAAATTAAAAATTAAAAAAAAAAACTAAAGAAAACAAAAAAAAATTTCAAATTAAAAAAATAATAATAATAAAAAAATAAATAAAAACAAAACAAAACCAAACAACAAAAACTTAAAAATAGGAAAACAAATATGAATAACAACAACTAGTCACCGACAAGTGCATTTATTTACACATATGTATATATATACAGTATATATGTACATATGCTATATTGTAAAACACTCATGTCATGTTTGCCTAGTCCTTCTTGTTTATTTCCACACCGCTGTTTGCATTTCTTGTTTGCTCACTTGCTAGCTTCTTCTGCTTGGGTTCTCAAGTTCCTGCCTCCGCTATATGCCGCTTTCATTTACGTGCCCTCCGTTCACTTAAATATCCAGTTTTCTTCTAATATTCCTTTTTAATCGTAAAGCCGCTAGAGCGGCAGTCAATCTGCCTACTTATTTAGGCGTCTGCCTACGCTGAGCATAGGTACATTCCTGCATGTTCATATGCATGTATGTATGTTTGTATGCAATGGTATTCGGTGCCTCCAATGTACTCATGTTTCCTGGCGCACATTTTACTTGTTCATTAGTTTTACCTGAAACTGCTGCATAAATAACAAGCTAAGGTAAAAACAACAGAAACCTTTTTTTTTTACTATATACTCATATTCAGTTGTAAACAGTGGCGAGAAAATAAATTTAGTCTTTCAAGTGGGTGAAGTATATTTTAAAAGTAAATAACAATAATAAAACTTAAAACGAAAATTTATTTTATATTATCTTTTTTAATTTAATTTACGTTTTCATGATTTAAAAAAAAAAAATTGAATTCATATTATATACCATCTGATCAAAAATGACCCGGACTGGTTCATGCAAACCACATCGACAAAATTTTTCCTAGATTGGTGTTCGTGTAAATTTTGATGATCTCCAAATATCAATTAGTGTGTGTTCGTCAGCTGTTTGTTTACGATGTGGAAAGTTTGTCTGACGATTTTTACCATGAAAAATAAAAATGTGCTCGTAAGTACTTGATATTTTGTAGTTTTTTTCTGCCATCTTTGACAAAATTTGATTAGATGGTATTTGTTTGCTTGTTGTTTTTTACCAAGTTCTAACCAAGAACTAACGTCTTATTGAAGGAATTTTCTAAAGACAAGCTTTTAAGTATTCTTACACATTCTTATATGACTATTGAAAGACTACAAATATGACGTCTAATGATGACCGAGCTTAACTAAGGTTACAAAAAAATTGTCTGTACTTATTCCCTTGTCTTCGTAAACATTTCCTTCAAGCTATTGTTTTGTTGCAAGACTCAAAGTAAAAAAATATCAGTGAACATACCCGATACTGGCATTCGTAAAATTGCGGATCCCAGGCATGTAAGCGAGAGCCATCATCTCAATATAATATGGATGTTCGGGGAAGGCTTAATGAACCTGTTAATATATATAGTCCAGATAAAACCATATTTTCGAGGGCTTTTTGCTAGTATTAAGTCCAATTTTAGATTAGTTGAATAAATAAAATATATTTATTGCTCTCTTAGCTCAGAATATGAACTCTCGTCTCGCTTGAAACTCCATGTGTTTAACTAATTTTCAATTTATTAAATTTGGTATCATTTCATTTAAAAACCCCAAAAAACAGTCTGCTTTTCTGTTAAACTTTCCATAAAATTTTGGTTAATATTTTCATTATATTAATTGATAAAAAAAAATGTATATATAATATATACTAATCGCCATTATTTCTCTTACAGCTGTATCTATACCCATATACCTATTTTTCCTGACAACAATAATTATCGCAGTGTTGCTATTATTTCTCTCGCAACTGCATCTATCCCTAAACAAGTATACTTATCATTCCAGCAACTTGTTCGCCTCAGCTCCTCAGCTCCTCAGCGTGTGCACAGTCCAGACGAGTTTCACGTGCATTTCTTCAATGCTAACAACATAATCATTAACTCATTGTACTTGTACTATATATATAGATGTGTATGTCTGTTCGCATGCACTTGTATCCATATGTGAGTGTCTGTCCGTCCTTCATCATCATCAAACACAATCAGCAGCTTCAACTTCTGCTCTATTTGACTATCTCAAAGGTTCATCTGTTGCCTCTGTCTCGGCCGCCATGTGTTCAGCTGTGCGGCGAGTAACCCGTTTTTCAACACGCACTCACACATTACTTGCTCACTCATTATTTCTCTAAATCGTATTTTTATAGCCTTTATGTCGTTTATGCCACAGCGGTTACACATTTTCATTTAATTTGATTGTATATATTCTTTCTTTAAAGATGCGCATTAAATAAGTAGTCCTCTCGACACTTTAACAAAAAA